ATATATATATATATATATATATATATATATATATATATATAGATTCAAATAATTCGAAAAGTTAAACAAAATATATACATATACATATACATATATATATATATATAATAAGGTCATGTTTCGTATTACTTTAATGCACTTAAATGGGAGTTATATTACTCATTTAATTTAGCCATTTTGAAAATATCAATTTGTTTTATATTATATTGTTTGTGATTGTTCATAAACGAATGTATTTTGAGAAATAATCATAAACACTTCAATAGAAATCTCCCTTTTTTTCTTCAAAATTTACCCTTTTTTCATGATTGTTCATCTATGTTTAATAAACATCAATTTTTAATTTATTACAAAAATGTCATAATGAATTTTATCAATAGACTACAAATATTAAATGCTAAGATTAGTTCACATAGTTAACACAAATTATTGGGTTAACAATTGAAGAAGCCCTGTGATTTACGAAAACGTGAGAACAACTTATTAATCCCATATTGTGATAACAATTAAAATTAAAAGAATTTTTAGATTAAAATTGAAATTTAAAACGATGCAAAAAAATTTGAGATTCGAAAGGGTAATAATTGAAATCAAAATCATAAATTTTTAAACACGATCACATTATAATCCTAGAAGTTAGAGTTATCCACTTAATTCTACAGTTATCCTTTATTAGAAAGCATCGATTAAGAAGGTAACGAAAGAATTTCAAGGAGAAATCGAAGATCAAGAAGCCGTAAAGTCTATAAATCAAACAACAAACAAGAATCGAACAACAAACATGAATCGATCAGCAAGAAGAAGCCATAAGGTTTGCATGCAGGAATCGAACAGCAAGAAGAAGTTGTAGAACACAGTTCATTCAAGGTATATGTCACAATTACTCGATTTGAACATGTTTTCATTCGATTAGGATTAGACAATCACACATTTATCACAACGATTACGAGCGAAATCGACGAAACAATTTGGTGTGATATGGATGTGATAACACTATCATAACAGTGCACGGTTTGATCATGGTTTCGATCGGTTAGGGTCATACTTTATCACAACGATTACTCATGATTTCGATAGGTTAAGATTAGACTATCACACATTTATCACAATGACTACGAGCAAAATCCACTAAACGATTTGATGTGATATGGATGTGATAATCATGTGATATCACTATTATAACATCACTCGCGCACTCAATTTGATCATGGTTTCGATCAGTTAGAGTTAGACAATCACACATTTATCACAACGATTACTCATGGTTTCGATAGGTTATGGTTACACAATCACACAATTATCATAAGGGAAGAGAAAAGAGTGGAAACGAACGTGATCAATCCAAGAAAAAAATGGATAATTATAATTAATTAAATTAAAATAAAAATTACTTAATTACATTATTGTCTTTATTAATTTATTTATATTTAATATAAGTTAATTTATTAATTAAAGGAGTTTAAGGTTATTGGGTTGTTTTCGTGTTCTCGTAAATCACAAGGATTCTCGTTTGAACCTCCATATATATATATATATATATATATATATATATGGCATTCGGGAACTGTCCACAACGTGTCACACGTCTTTTTTTCAAGACGAATATTTATCATGAATAACATATTGATAATGAATATGAAGTATTATTTATCATGAATCATGCATTTATATATTCATCATTAATTATACATTTATAAAAAATATATTATGGCATTCATGATGAGTAACACACTATATTCCTAATGAACGCACACATGTCGCATGTGGCGGTTATCGGGTTCCTAATCAGTTTTAGTTTTCTAACGCAACTTGCCCCTATACATACTGCATACATATATATTAATTGGTGGCAACGATGGTGGTTGGGGGGTGGGTGCGTCAAGTGTGGCGGTGACATTGATGGGGTGGTGGTGGTTGCGGCCGAGGGGCAAAGTGGGGGCAATGGTGGGGACGGTCTTGGTTAAATTGGATTCAAAATTTATTTGTTTAAAATCAATGTGTGAAATCCATTACATTATGAAATCAAATTATTAAATACCTCGATGATGGAATTCAATAGAATCTACTCAATTCAATCCGTGAACCAAACGGGGTCAAGGAATTTGGTTAAATAAACTTATCATTCTATTTCCATCAAATTCCTCGACCAAACACGGACCCTAAGGGGGTGTTTGGTTCACAGAATGGAATTTGATGGAATTGGAATCCATCAAAGGAATTTGACTTGAAGGAAATGGAATGGAATTTGACCATGTGTTTGGTTGGTAGGAATTGGAATGAAATCTCTCAATAGAATTGGAACAATCATCTTTGTATGGACTATCCCATCCATCGCCCCGCCACACACCCTACCAGCCACCATGTCACTAATGTCGTCGTCACAACTATCATCCGCCCTTCCCCCACCACTTCTTCCCTACCCTGCTCCATAGGTGGGGATTGTTGCGGGTAGGTAGGGGTGGGGCGAGGCAGTGGGTTTGAAGCCAGAGTGAGGCAATAGGTGGCAGTGTGATAGTTGTGATGACTACAGTGGTAGGATGGTGGTTAGTGATGGGTTAGAGTAGGGTAAGGTAGGGTGGGGGCAAGGCAGGACGGTGGGGTGGGTAGGGGTAGGTGGCGGGGTGGTAGCTGTGATGATGCTAGTGGTGGGATAGTGGTCGGGAGGCTGGAGCCAGGGAGTGGGTGGGTATGACGACAATAATAGTGGCATGGTGTTTAGTGGTGGGTTGGGGTGGGTTGGGGTGCGAGTGAATGGCGGTTGTGAAGGCGACAATAGTAGTGTGGGGGTGAAGGGTTAGGTTAAGGGCGGTAGGGGCGGGGAGGTGGGGATCAGTGACAGTTGTGACGATGATAGTGGTGGGATGATGGTCAGGGTGATTGGGAGTGGGTGGGTATGATGACGACAGTAGTGACATAGTGGCTAGTGGTGGTTAGGGTAGGGTGCGGTAGGGTGAGTGGCAGTTGTGACGACGACAATAATGTTGTGGTGGTGGGGGTTAGGTTAGGGGAGTGACACTAATGTTAGTAGCATAGTCGTAGTAGGGATGTGTAGTGAGTGACCGAAGGGTGGGTGGGTGTGATGACAACAGTAGTGGCATAGTGGTTAGGGTAGGGTAAGGTGGGTGGCAGCGACATCAGTGGTGGGGGTTAAGGGTGGGGCATCATGAACAATAGTAGCATGATCGTGGTGGATGGTGATGGAATTCAATTCCTTCCATTTTGCCAAGGAATGATGAATTCATTAACTTGTGGAATTCAATGGAATTTGAAGGATTCCATCCATTCAAGAAATAAACCAAACAAAGGAATTGGAATTTAGTCAAAGGAATTTGTCATTCCAATTACATCAAATTCCTTTGAATTCCGCGAACCAAACGGCCCCTAAGTTCGTCGCTTTCAGTAGTGCACCCGTTGCAAAGAAGGAAGAGTCGAAACGATTACTGCCAACAAATCCGAACACTTTGACTTTATCAAAGATCACGAGAACTTGCTTCATTTTTTACTAGCAATCGTGTTGCTAAGTATGTGAATTCCCCAACAAATCCAAGAAGATTACAAGAAAAAAGACCAAACCAATACATATACATATCCAGGGCAGGGTTCAGTGAGAACAAACCCCTTTTCGTGATAACATGAGAACAAACCCCTTTTCGTGATAACATGAGAACAAGTGAAAGTACCCATATATTGTATAAACGTTTGGTGTGAGAACTGTGAAGGTACCCTGATGCGTAACTTTCACACGTTATAAGGATACCTTCATAAACACCATTAATATGAAGAGTTACAATTTTTTTAAGTATATAATATTTATATACAACATATCCCCATACACCCTCTTCACCTTCAATGAGGCTTGGCTTGAGCCCTGACCTCCATGGAGACTGTCAGGCGAGGCTCTATGGCTTGATCCCTGACCTCCATGGAGACTGTCAGGCGAAGCTCTATTGATAATCCGGATACCATTGAGCTATAATGACCCTTTGATAAAGGTACTTTCACTTGTTCTCATGATTTTTTTTTTGGGGGGGGGGGGGATGTTTTGTAAGACTAAAGGTTAGTGCTCAACAAATACTCTTAACAAAAGCAAGTAATAGATCTATTATAGAACTTCTAATCTACCATATGCTAAGATTTCACTCTATAAACCCCAAAAACTATTAACTTATTTTTCATGATTTTTGAACTAAACTGAGAATACCAAAATGGGAATACTTACAGTGGAATAAAGATTTTTGGGGGTTAGAAAGAGAAAAGACTTCTTTGTACATCGGTAGGATTGGCTAACCATCGGCAGAACAGCCACGCTGCACCCACCACCGATAGAAGGGAAAGCATCGCCAAGAATCCAAAATGTGAAATGTCGTTTGCAATTATAACGACACCCAAGATTATTGATTCTGCTAAACTGGCAATGGAAACCTCTGTTGCCCCGATAAGATTTGCTTTCGAAGGCGGGATTCCAGTTTGTAGAATCTGGGCTCCAACCACATCATAAGACATGTTTCCCAATCTTGATAACACCTGAATAAAGAAAAGTTTAGTAATTTAACAATCTTGTCTCGTCTCCCTAATCTTTGTTCCACCTATTTTGGTTGAACAAAAAATTATATTTTTTCCCCACTTAGTCCCGTTTCCTATCCCCCATTACCAAACGGACCCTAATCTAATTAAAAACCAAAAGAAAAACAAGCCTAGTACAACCCACCCAAAGGTGGGGTTCGGGGACGGGATGTATGCAGACTTGTCCTCTGTCCCGGTGAGTAGAAGGCTGTTTTCATAAGGACCTACGCTTGCAAAAAGTGTATCCGAAAAGAAATATTTGCCCAAAAAGTTCGAACAATTTGAAAAAATGAGAATTTGTAAAAAATGAAAGAAGATTAAGGCTAGAGAAAAGTAAGCAGCACAGCATAATCAAAAGATTACCATCCGGTAAATCAAGAAACAGACAAAAATATGTATCGAGAAAAAGATAACTTACAATAAAACCAAGAAAGAATAAAAGTGCAGTATGCTGCGAAAGAGCTCCACTCCAATACACAGCAACCGCCATTGTAAGAAGTGAGGCTTGCAATATGAGTCCAGCTGCCCCAGCCTGCAACAAGAAATCCGTTACGACTTCTCTTTTTTTTTTTTTTTCATCTTCTGTAGTATGACTATGACGTATGGAGTTCTCAAGCAGCCGTTGTACCGCTTTTCTACTATGTTATATTTTACCTATCTTTATTGTTTTGTATACTTTTTCAAGAAATCAGTAATTTTTATGATATTTTCAACGAATCAGTAGATGAAAAATGTGGGACCCATTTAAAAATCACGGACCGGTTTATGATTGTAAATTGGTTTATAGGTTTTTTATGGAATGTGTAGGAGAGAGAAAGCAGATGTGGCAGAGTCATGGACCAGTAGGCTCTATAAGTCAAGAGAAGGGTACCTTTAAAATGCCAAGTTTCTTGACCATTTGAGCAGACATGAATGTTGCTCCAACACCCATCAAAGCACATAAGCAACTGAAGCCTCCAATTAAAGATGGACTTAAACCTGAAAAAGATCAAAAAGCATATCCAAAACTATAAAGCTGGCATACACCAACTACTACTAGTGCAGAATACAAGGCTTCTTAATGACTAGGTGGCTGATTAAGTAAACCCTAAGCAGCAATCTTAAGAACACCCGCTAAAACCTCGAGGAATCGGCAAATAAGCCCCATAGGTCGCCAGGTAGAGTCTGCTCAGGGTCCATGAGAATTTTCCTGGTTGTTATCTTCAGGGCCCCATGGGATTAGTCGACATGCGGGCAAACAAACCCAATATCTCCCGCCCGAGGTAGGGTCTGGTCTTACTTCTGTCCCAAGAGACGGAGAGGCTGTTCCCGAGAAGACCCAGGCTTGCGAAAAAGATTAAGAAACATATCTATACAGCACAAATATAAGCAAAAAAGGTTTTTCTTTTCTTTTTCTTTGAAGACAAAGTTATAAAAGAAAGCAAATATAGGTCACATGTAGGAGAGGGAAGTTCTGTTAGGAACCCAGGAACTGGCTACAGCATGCCACCGTGTCCCTCTTCATGATGAATATTCATCATGAATAATACATTCATTATGAATATGGAAGTGTTATTCATCATGAATCACACACTCATGATGAACAAGGACGTGTTATTCATCATGAATCACACACTCATGAGTCATGATGAACAAGGACGTGTTATTCATTGCACATTCATGATGAATATGTACAATATTCATGACGAATAACACATCCATATTCCTGATGAATATGTCACGTGTTGCGCTGTGGGCGGTTCCCGGGATCCTAATCAATTTTAGGTTCTTAATGGAACATGCCCCCATGTAGGATATATCAGAAGAAGGGAATATAACCATACCATGTTGTGTTAGAAATGCCGTCATTAAACCACCTGGGGCCAGAACAACATTGAAGCAAAGAAGTACATAGGCTAAGCTAGCGGGAAGAACAGGCTGCTTCATGTATTCATCCCATCCATTTTTAATAGCATTTATACTGACATCCACTGATCACCAGAAGAAAGGGATTATCAGTACGAGAGACACGACTGGTAAGCGAAACTATAGTTATTTAGTAATAAATTCACCTAAATTATCAACATGTGGCACAGGTCCTGCGGAGAAAGTTCTGCAGCATGTTTGCGGGCATTTAGCACGGTCAAGAACACCAGACGAAAGCTTGTTGGTTAACCACGTGAGACCAATCTAACATATTATTAAGAATAAATCTCATTATCCCAATAGAAGTTTGCAATATGTCACCATAGGGTCAGGTTCAGGGGAAAACTACAAAAAAAAAAAAATGAAAAACTGAGGAACACCCTAATAACTATTCATCTAGACGGTATGAACATGTGCATACAAGTAACTTGTAGCAATTTGTCTGGTGTGCACATATGCATAACATGCACACATGCATAAAAAACAAAAAACAACTTCAATTACTTGTATGTACATGTGCATACTGTCCAGATGAATGGTTGCTAGGGTGTGTTCCTCAATTCTTCATTTTTTTGAGGTTTTCCCCTGAACCTCCCTCTGTTACCATAAACAAAAAAAATTATAATTCATTACCACAACAGGCAATGACCACATCATCAAAGCAACAGCAAGCTTCAAGCACGTTACTGTTTCGTATTTAGATAAAAGAATGCCAAACAAAGATGCTCCAGCAATCTGCAACGGTATAAATCCATTCATTTTTAGTTTTAACGCTTTTATCAGTAATATCAATCAACTAAATTTCATAATTGTATCAAACATATAACAAGTAATACAGATAATTGAAAGCTTGTAACTTCTATAGCAGAATAGAACCATAATCACCTCACAGAGGAGATCAATACGACTCAGAGTAGCATTCGCTTGAGCAAGAGCAATTGGCCGATTGGATCCTGCTAACTGTATAAACCAAAAAATTTACATTAATAAAAATGGCTCAACGGGTCTGCATTCAGCTGCAGTTAGAGATGGGCGAAAAGACCAGAGCTTTTGGTCCAAACCAGACCTTTGGGACCGGGCTTTTTTTCGACTGCTTTGACCAGACCAGATTTTTTAGGACCGGTCCATGCCCATCTCTAGCTGCAATAGTTCTTTTCATGTACATTCATGCATACATATTCAACTAATGACCCTTCAATTAAATGGCATACTTCTCTTAGGGGCTGCTTGGTTGGTTTTCCATTAAGTCCTGTATGGATAAAGTTGTCTATGTGGATTAATCTATTTGTATAGATTGAAAAAGTTTTTGTTTGGGAAGGTTTTCTCATAGATGGAAGTAGTGTGTTTTTTTAATTGGAAGGGGCAGGTGTGGAAAAAACTCGGCTTTTTGCATAAAGCTCCCTCCTAAAGCTTACTGAGTAAGTATCATTAAGCCACTACCAAACAATCATGTATAGCTGACCGAATAAGTTGCGAGCCCCATTAAGCTGCTAACAAACAGGCCCTCATTCCCAACTGAGAAGTTGAAAGGAAAAGGCAAGTTGATATCCGAGCTTACCATATGACTTGCATTTAGTAAATGCGAGAATAATATAAAACAAATAACCAAAGAACAGTCCTTGAGGGCCAGCTCAACTGGCAAATAAAAAGGCTAGGCCTTGGGACTCCTCCCCACAGAGGTCACCAGTTCAAGTCTCCTCGGGGCCAACGGAGATTTTCCCGGCTGTTATCTTCAGGGCCCCATGGGATTAGTCGAGGTGCGTGCAAACTGGCCCGGACACCCACGATTACCAAAAAAAAAAGAAACAAAGCATGAGCAATACCAGAACAACCCAATCACGTTCCACTGCAACCCCGAGAGCTAGTCCAGATAGCCTCTCAACAGCCCCAGCTACTACTAATATGATAAACCAAGGACGCATGAGTACAGAGGTTTCGAGTGAGGCATGTGCCATATGTGCTTGAATTATCATCGCAGCTGATAACAGTTGAGCAGCTGCCTGATATATAAAGAGATATTAGAAATTCCAAAGAAAACCAAACCATACCAAACTAAATCAAACGAGCCTAGTATATCCCATCCAGAGATGGGGTCGGGGGTGTTAAGACGTAAGCAGACCTGCCCTCTACCCGGCCTTTGGTTTGCAGAATGTTTTCTGAAGGAATGAAATATGTCAAAAGAAATTGACTTTGAAGGAATTATAATGGAATTTGACCATGCTTTTGGTTGGAATGAATTGGAATGGAATCTGTTAAAGGATTTGGAACCTGCCTGCTTGGTTGGTAGAATGTAGCTTCGGAATTGGAATATGAATAAACGATAAATGACCAAAATACCCCTTTTATAATGGTGGTGGTTGGTTGTGGTTCAGATTGATGGTGGTCGGCGGTGGTTCAAATCGGTGGTGGTTCAGATCGGTGGTTCAGAAAACGGTGGTGGTTCAGATGCAAGTCATATGGGTATGGGTAAATCAAGTAGGGAAGATGGGGATAATTTTGTCTTTTTGAGAAAATGGGATGGAATGGAATTGAATTCCTTCTCAATTTTGATGGAATGAACAAATCCATGAATTGTGGAATATGTGGAATTCAATTCCATTCCATAGGTAAACCAAACGCCTGAATGGAATTTCGTCAACGGAATTGATCATTCCAATTCCTTCAAACCCCCTAATAAGTAGAGCGGTTGTTTCCGTGAAGCTAAGTGTGTGAAAGGGAGAAATTCCAAAGAAACTTCACGCTAAATACGACTAGATAAGTTAATTAAGGAATAACCTGGACAGTGGTCAAAAAATTATATGCAGGTACACGGGGAAATAGATCCATAAGTTTGCCAACTAATGGGCCTCCAGCAATAATAGCAACCTGCTCAAAAAAAGACAAATAAAAGAAGACAAGTTAGAATGTCTTTTCACCTGAAACAAATTAGAAGCCATTCAGATTATATGAATTGTTGAAACCTTGGTGCAGAAACCCATGACCGCAACTGGAAGAAGGCTTGGATGAAGCAATGCAATAGCAGCAGGCCAAGCGAAATTCCATAGCTGTTCCACCAAGTTCCCAGCTAGGCAACTAGCATATAATGCTGATAATGATATATGATCTTCAGATTAGAAACATATGCAATATAAAAGCAACTACAGGTCATAAAAAAAGTAAACAGTCTGTGGTTGGACCCATGGAGATTGTTGCTGCAGTGGGTCAGTAGGTTACACATCGAGCTCCCCAAGATAGTTTTCCTCTACATGATATTTACTCTAGGAACTTTGGAGTTATAGATAGAGATCCTTCACTCAAAAGAATTACATACACACACATGAATGTATACATACATACATACATACATACATACATATATGCATGTAAATACACGTTTAGATATACATCCGTACATATATGTATATATAACCAAACCAAAACCAAAGGAACCCAGTATATCTATGTATGAGGTACTCTGCCGGAAACATATATGTATGTATGTATGTATGAATGCGTATATGTAAATAATGGGAGGTTCAAATAAAAAGGCTAAATATAGTGAGAGGGTAAGAAGAAATGGTTAATGAATGGTTTATATGTGAATCATTGAAAAAATCCATTTTTTAAGATGCATATGTCAACCCATACGAATAATTTGTAATGTCATGCATCTTCAAGTAGATTTTTTCAAGATTTTTTTCAATGATTCACATATGAACCTTCCCTTCTTACCTTCTCACAATATTTAGCCATCTTATTTGAACCGACCCCTGTGTGTGTATATATATATATGTGTGTGTGTGTGTGTATCAGGTTAAAGTAGCTCCCTGGAGGCTGTTATCAGTTATGACAATCAATATAGAACATAAGTGTTTGATAGAAAAAACTCAAAACAGAAAAACACCGTAACTATCATATACTCGTACAATTAGACAACACAACTTCTTTAATATTTAAAGACTTATGCAAAAGTCTACCCTTCAAGAAATCGCATTAGGCGACTAGAATAGTAATAAGAAAATAAGTATATTGAAAGAGAGTAATTAGTTTAATGAAGAGAAGATGTTGTATTCTTTATATATTCTTAACTTGACATTCAACAAGTCAGGTCGAAGAAAAAACATGGTAGCACATGAAATTAGTATTACCCTTCAACAAACTCATGAGTATAACAACTCATGTAAAAAGAACCAATAAGTCTATTAGAATACGCATCATACTACCAACCGTAAAAACTAATTGATAGAGTTGACCGGTGAAATTGGAAGTTACCCAAAAGATAATTATGTTGCATACGCTTTGTCATAAGAATCCAAATAAAAGATCTTCAATAAATCGCCACTATAGTGTTATACATAGTATTACCAAAGCCTGCACCAGGAGTTCACTTACCGTATAATCCTGCTGGATGAGCAGGCATTGCAGCAATGACGTCCTGCTCCTCCTCTGAAAGAATCTGAAGAGTAAAGTGAACACTGAAATTTATAAATTTTAAGGATAAAAGATAAGAAATCAGGAAGGTAGTATGTGATTCTTTGATGTACCGGCAATGTTGTCAAGATCATGTCTACAAAAGTGCCCTCCACCAGTAAGTTCGCTGATTCAGTATCATGAATTTCAGCATTAAGATGGAGAATGGGAACCGAACAATTTGATGCATCAGATGAAGAATCATGACAAACTTCTTCTGTGATAATGTCGTTGAAGACTTCGGTATTTGTAATAGAACATCTTGTATAGAGATTGTTCAGCCTGCAAAAAATTGATGAAGTAGCTAATGATGTCGGGAGCCAAATCCCGATGATATGAACTACATGAAAAAGTGTTCTCTTCACTACAGAGTACTTCCGAGTATTCTGCATTCCAAGAGCTTCCGATAATAACGTCATTATAAATACGATGACCAAACAAACCCTCAAAAACTTTTCTAGTCCATTTCTTCGGGCCATTTAAGTGCCCATATGCTTGAGAACCTTTGAGAACTGATGTTGTGCATCAAAAAGTGCAATTACAAGCAAACTTGTAAAAGGTCCAGTAAATGCTGACCTTATGTTTTAGTACTCACAGAAATAAGTTTAAGTAACTTGTACTTGAACAAACAAAGGTAGAAGGTAGAAATTCCCTTGCATGAAAATAGTGGTAAATAGTATGATCCTGAATATTAAAGAAATTCTATAAAGGATCTCATTTAAATTGAAGGGTTTATAGTATCTTCTTTACTGATTTTCAAGAATCTACTTTGGTTGAGTTTTTCTTTGGCACTCACAAATTGCCAAAGAAGCATTCAATTGAATTTTTCTTAAGTGGCCTTAAGAAGGGATTTTCTGAACACCGAGCATTATTACTCTAAGCAACTTTTGATCTTAAAATTATGCGGCACTAACATTGAATTTCATCGATGTCTATTACAAGTTAGATGTGACCGCACAACAGAGGAGTTTTGGTCATTCGATATCAAATGGCTAAAAAACCATTGGTAAGGTAAAGTTTCAAGGAAAGGTAGCAGCAGTTTCCATGGTCAATTCAAGGGGCTTCAACAATCCTAAGGGACTTTTTCCTTTCAAATCCACACCCTTCCCATCAAATCAAGCACTTGGGTATTGATTTGTGGGGGTTGGCAACTGATCTTGTTTGTTAGGAAACGAATAAATGGAAGACACAAGAGCTCAACTCAGTGTGCCTTTGGTTTCAGAATGGCATAAGTTACCCAAGCCAACGGTCAGAAAGTTAAAAACTCCATTTACATATTATCAACCCTCGAGCACCTTTGCTTAAGATGATAGGAAATGTGTTACAGAGCCATTTGTAGTGATATTTGACAGCGAGCTCATCCAGTCTTGCATGAGCATAACAAAGGCATGTGCCTTTTTGCTATTACTTAGTAATCTATAAGTTTAACAGGTTCCTTTTGCAGTTTAAAATACTTGAATAACACTAAGTCAAATCATTCAATCTTAAATATCTTCTTAATGGTTAAATGGATTGCAGTCATTAACGGGTTTTGAAGCGGCTACCTATCCACGACCAAAACTCTGCCCCAATGAGCAAACAGTTTTGTTGAAGTTAACCATACACGCAGGTGACACAGAATCATTTGTGCAATTTACATCTTACATATAAATTACATTCTTCTAGGATCATCTAACAATGCCCTATAGACGATGGATCATCCAGATCATAGAATGTTTAGGTGACAATTGGTCTTTTCCTAAAGTAGAATGCATTCTATAGCCAAAGGGGTCAAAGAAGCATTTTTTCAATTGACATTGATTCATTTTCTATATTTCCAGCAAGATAAAGACTCCAAATTCTCTTGGTGATGAACACAATAAAGACAACCAATAAAACATCCCAGGTAATATAGAGGTTGTAAACTGAGAACATTTACCCACAAAACACCAAAAAGAATTGAATGCTACACAACTGGATTGCCAGCAAGAAAAAGAATCCATTTGAATCTCATTTTCCTTCGGCTAGCTGAGAAACCTCAAACTTAGGGGCTGTTTGGTTGGTTCCATTAAGTCCAATATAGATAAAGCTTTCTGTTGTGGATTAATCTGTCTACATAGATTCGGAAGGCTTTTGTTTGGGAGGGTTTTCTCATTAGATGGAAAGGGCGTGTTTTTAATTGGAAGGGACTTCCTAATTTTTTTTGCCTTTCTGCATAAAGATCCCGCAAGAAGCTTATTGAATAAGCCGGTTTCTATATCACTAAGCCACTACTGAACAGTGATGTATAGCCATGAGTCCCATTAAGCTCGTTAAGTAGCTATTGTATTACTCAACGTACTCATTGTGCTTAGACCCACCGCATTGATCAATAAAACAGATCAATATCGACAAAAAAAAACCATGTAAAATTTGACCCAAAAAGGCCTCTTGGATCAATATAACCAAACGATAAATCATAAAATTAAAAAAAAAGTGGATGAAATTACCTTAAATTAGGAAAACGAGGGATCAAACTTCGAGGAGAAGCATGTAATTTAGTAGTAGAAGAATATCTATAAGAATCGTATTGACGACGAGACAAAGACGATAACATTTTCGTTGGAGAAACAAAAACCACAGCCATGATTGATTCGACTCAAAATACACTGCTTCCGCCTTGAAGCAGCTCGTAATCTCCCTTCTCAATGGAATCACTTGACTACTCATGCAGCTCAACTGATGAAAATTTCCGACTTGTGGCAAGTTCCGGCGATGAAGTTATCATGGAGGAACTGAAACAACAAATTTGCAGTCCATAGAATTGGGGTTTCAGGGGTTGAAATTAGCGAATGTCCCAATCAATCTTATCTTGTTCTGAGGACCGAATTTGTGGGGATTGGAAGTAGAATGGCGGATTACGCAAGGGAGCAGCCAAAATCTTGAAGAAATGACGTGCCGTATTGTTCGCCAGTATATTGTAGATGGCTTTATTCCACCCTATCTGAGCTCCACCTCAGCAAACGATACTCCCCCACTCAAATCAAAATGATTCCTAAAAATTCAGGGGTCTTCAAAATACCTCATCCGCCGTAACCGCTCCTCATCGTATTATATCCAATGTTTTAAGACCTTTCTATCAGTTTTTTTCCAGCGGATAAAAGTTTAAAAAAAATCTAAAAATTATTGTTTATACATTAAATAAATTACAAGTAAATTGTGTTTAAGTATAATTTATTAAATTTTTATGTTAAATTCGTGTAATTAGCTGCAGATAAATATAATCGAATATAAGATAAATATTTTATTTTAAATATAAAAATTTAAAATATAATTAAGGTAATTATTAATATCTAACAAAATACTTAATTATTATATTTATAAAATGTTATATTAATAAATCAAAAATAAATTATTTTGTTATTAAACTTAAATTAAATTATAATAAAAAATTAAATTAAAAAAATTACCATAAAAATGATAACTTTTAAATAGTTAATTTGATATTCATATCGATATAATTTTTTAATTTTTTTATCAAATTATATTTTATTCAAAAATAAAAATATTTTCGTTTTCTCAAAACCATATAACAATAACATCATGCTGCACTGTACGGGTATCATTCTAGTTCTCTATAATGCTCCAACAACTTTCCTATTTCATTCCCTAAAACAAAGAATAATGAAGAAAACTCCAAATATAAAAATTATCTAAAAATTCAAAAGGATAGAGATAGAGAGATAAATGAAATTTTTTACTCATCCCACCAATGAGAGTTGAATTAATATCATTTTATTTATATTTTAAAAAACTGTATTGAGATATAAAATTATATGATATAATTAATGATAAAATCTCTAAAATAAATAATCTATTGGAGTTGATTGTAATTTATTTTAGAGATTTTGATTTTTAGTTCTCTATTTTAAAGAAATTATAGAAAAGCTTTTGGAGATGTTCTAATAACATATTTTGGTGAATTCTTTATAATTTTTAAAAAAAATAAAGAACCAAAACTAAAAATCTCTAAAAATAAAATATGTTCAACTTTAACAATTTTTTATTTTTAGAGATTTTATCATTAATTATATTATGTAAATATTCAATAATTTTATGATCTCAATACACTTTTAGAAAAACTTTATATAAAATGATATTAATTCATCCCTCATTGGTGGAATGAATAAAAAAACTCATTTTTTTCTTTCTTTTTTTTAGAGTTTTAGAGAATTCTCTACATTGAGAGTTTTCTTCATGATTTTCTATTCCAGAGAATAAGATAGGGAAATTGTTGGAGCATTATAGAGAAGAAAAAGTTGATTTTCTCTATTTTAGAGAAGCTGTTGGAGATGCTCTAAATGACGTGAGGCATGATGTGGCGAAATTAAGCCATAAGCCTTAGGAGCCACGGGGCCGCAACGTTTTTCAAGGCGTAACTTATAGGGGCAAATCTTTATATCTTATAAATTATTATACATATAAACATATATAGAGCGAGGTTCAAAAAAATGAAAAACTGAGGAACATCTTGTTAACCATTCATCCGGATGGTATGCACATATATATACCGGGTAAATTAATTATAAATTACTTGTATGCACTTGTGTATATTATCCAGATAAACAGTTACCAGGGTGTTCATATGTTTTTCATTTTTTTGTGGTCTTTTCCCTGAAACTGACCCTATATATACTCTAATATTACTCAGAGTTGATGATAATAAATAATTTAAATTATGTTTTACATTATAAATTAACGAATAAGACATTAAAAGGTAAGAAAAATCAAATATTACACTACAAAAACCATGCAATGGGTCATGGCGTGCCACAAGCTTAACCTAGCGTGAAACATAGGTTTTAAGCCATGACACGCCATGACGGTTGTAGTGGCAAGCTTTTTTGAACTCAAATTAAATCATGCGGCTTAAAAAATTTCCATTATATTTCTATAGTAAATTACATTTTCGTCTTTGTGGTTTGTTAAAAATTGAGATTTTCGTTCCCGTGGTTTAGAAATTGTTGTTTTCGTCCCTGTGATTTGTAATTCACTACTATTTCCGTTCTTATAATTTACATGTTATTGTTGTTTCAGTCTCAATAATTTACAACACTTTATTGTTGTGGTCTCTTGTACTTGAAGGTAAGAATTTAGTCTAGAGACGAAAATAACAATAAATTGCAAACCATATGAGCTAAAATCATAATTTCTAAACCGTATAGACGAAAATTAAACCATTGGGACGGAAATCATAGTTTACTCTGTTTTTTAACCAATACCAATTACAATTGGTTCGTAAGTATCATACATCCACACTAGGTATGCAAGTTTGGTTGATACACGTATTGGATGTCATGTATGATGGTACCGACTTATTTCATTATTTATTAGTTTTTGTATTTTTTATGTATTGAATATTAAGCGTTGTAACTTTAACTATTTTGGTTGAGAATTTGAATGTAACACCTCATATCACATATTGCATGTATCACATACTTCATACATCAGAAATACATATTTATATCTCAACATTGGTCCCATAATACAAGAATCTACCAGTACCAAATACATGGTTCAAAAATTCAAAATACAATTCTTGCACTAAACCAGATTCATATAACGAAACTATACATGATGTCAATAAAACTTCATGCAGATAAGCATATAGGAAAAATATTATATTTTTCCCTTCCCTTTCCCCTCAGCACTTCCTGCAATAGATAATTAAAATCATAAAACGAAGGTTATGGTTTACTGAGTTACCCTATTTATATCATTGCAGGGTGAAAATCACCAAAACTTCTATATAAAACAACCTTTCATATATACCACAAATATATGAACAAATAAAAATATAATGTCAATACCTTTCATTTTTCAAGCCAATAATCTTTGCTCACAAACAAAACATCATATCCCAACATGTTATATTAACCAAATTATTATAATGCCACTTTTAAACCTTTTCCATTCAAACAAGGTTTCTTTAAAGTGTCAGGCCAAACCTGTTACCTCATTCTCTATAACATTCAGACTATGATTTTCAATAAGAACCTTGATCCTAAATCTTTAAATGGCAAAGAAATAAAAATTCCAAACCACAGTAATCTTAAGGGATATGATAGTAAGAGTTATATTATATAACACACACATACAATTGTCACCCTTATATCCAAATGTACACATCTCCTTGATATGACACCCTTATCCCATGGTACATCTCTCATTGATATGTCACCCTTATCCCATGGTACACCTCTCCTTGATATGTCATCCTTATTTCTTCATCAAAACATTTCACAAAAACAATTCCATATAGAATTAGACTGCAGTCAATGGAATTATTATCAGTTCAAAATTATCTTTTTCAAAATTCCCCATATATATATATATATATATATATAAAATAAATCAAAATGCAAAACCGGTTAAAATAGACTTGGCCGGACTTCATCTCCGGACAAGTCTTGGCCGGTTTACCAAATCCGGACAACACTTTGCCCAAGGCTTTGTCCGATTTAACACTTGGAACAAAATTCTCAACACTTTGTCCAGATTACTAATCCGGACAACACTATTCATGCCCTGACCGATTTAGCAATCCGGTCATTTCCTAGTCGTATTCCTGCTTCTCCGAGTTAAACACTTGGTCATAATTCAAAATTCATAAATCGCTCATCGTATAAACCGGTTAACAGAATTAATCGATTTACTTTTAAACCGGTTAAAGCATGTCCGGTTTAGGTTTTATCTGCTTGACCCTTATCCGGTTTATATACATATATCGCTCAACCCTTGACCAGTTTATACCTTAGATCGCACAACCTTTGTCCCGTTTATGTCTTAGATCGCACAACCTTTGTCCGATTTATGCCTTAATCCGGACAACACTTAAGTAAACTCAAAACTTCAATAAAACATATAATTCAAAGCGTTTTGAAAGCATTTAACTACTCACCTTGAAAGCTTTTTGAAAATCAGTCTTTTGATAAGTTTCAATTGAAATCCGATCAACCTTTCTTCTTCTTAAATCGTTCAATGAAGGTCTCAAAATAGAAAAAGACTATAATGGAGGCTCATCCTCCCTTTTATACTTACCAAATAAGGTAAGGCGGCTAAACCGCCCTTACCATACATACATACATACATACATACATACATACATACATACATACATACATACATACATGCCTCAAAACCATTGCACATAGATCATGCATATATATATATATATATATATATCATGTATACACCTTGCCTCACTATACATATATATATACATTTCACATTTATGCATAAAATTCGCATACCCACATAATCAAATGTACAAATTTATCATGTTGTCACATAAACACATAATAAATAATCACGTATAAGTTACCCCAGGTGATAACCAAGACCCAATTATCACATTGAATATTTGCAAGTTTCATTCCTTGGATTAAAAACTCTTAAACATAATTGGGGTAACCTGGAAAATCAAAATTCAAACAAAAATGACAAGTTTTCTTATATGTAACTTGAAGTTGGTATAAAATTGATATCAATTGAAGAAAATTGGTACCCGTTAAGTTGGTACCAAGTATAGTTGGTTGATAAAAAAAATTGGTACATAACTAAACTCTCCCCCTACTATACTATATGGTTTACTTTCCGATTTTGAATTACTTCAACTGAATCACACCGCACCATATATCACTATTAATAACTGATTACATTTATTTTAATTTACCAAAGTTCAACTTTCTATGTTTTCAATATAAAACCTAAGTATTCATTAAATATTCTATTAATTTGTGTAATTATGAACAATCCATAACTTTGGTATACAAATGAGTATTATATTTTTGTATACAAAATGTGTATTTTGTTTTAAATGTAGTATGAAAACTATAAAACTGTGTATTGACACTTTACACACATTTTATTAGGTCCAAATCACAATGCGGTGCAGTATTTTACGTTTCGGGACATCTGTGATTTGGTTTGTGCTTTGGAGCAATGCTCAAACCGCATGTATGGCACAATTTGCAGTTTTGATCTTAAACCACATCCCACTAAATCGTGAACACCCCTACTAAAAATCGATTGGAATATATAATATTTAGTCAAAGGTTTTCAAGGTTTGTTCAAATATGAAGTTACGTTGTTTTAAATTTGTATATAATATATATTGTGAAACATTTAGACATAAGTCTTAAAATCAACTTATAAAATTTTATTATAAATTAAGAATGGAAAAATTAATAAAATTCTCATCAAAAATAAAATTTTAAAATTAAGTTTGAAGGTAGAATATGTTCTGAAACTTTGAAGTTCTCATCAACAAAAACCCGAAATTAAAATATTGGCATGTGTCATTGTAAGTTATTATATGTCCACGACACGTGTCACACAAGAATACTGCTAAGGAATATGTAAACCTATATGGTCGCACACAAAAAATACGTTTACTTCCATTTATAGAATCGTGGATTATATCAAGTTGATTATGGATATGATTGTTCTTGGAGGATAATTATGAAAATATGTGTTAAAACGTAATTATGATAATTATAGGATGTTATATGTAAATATGTATAATTATATTAAGGTTTAAGATAATTATATTTATGAAGCAGATAATGACTAAACCATATTTGAGTTATTATACATCTATAATTCCGACTATATAAATAAGGAGTTAGGCTAAAACAATTCTAACTCATTGAAGCTTTTAGATTTAGCCTCTCAAAAATTATATAGAAAATAAACTTTTTCTTTTCTGTAAAACACATATAAATCTAGGGTTCTTGGGCTAGCACCTGGTGGGAGTTATCAACTTATTCGTGTGTGGATCATTTGTAGAGGAAACTTGCTTTGGTTTCCACATGCTCAGAGGATACCTACTCCCAATCTATAAAAGTACAATTCAAAACACCCTATAATATGTGGTTTTAATTAAATAAATGCATTAGTAAACGATATATTATGCTTAATATGCTTTTAAGGAATTTCTACCAAATACTTTGTAGAACTAAATAATAACTAATTTGTTAGTGTTATACATATGCTTAGTATAGATTAGGTATTGTTTAATGGTTTTACTAAAGGGTCGTTTACCAAACGTTTATCCGGGTAAGTGCTTACTGATAACTCTCAATTTTTGAGAGTTATTTGTTGTTCAATACTCTTATTTTATTGTGTCTTATGTACCCATTTTGCTTCTATCCTGTATTTTTTGTCCAAAATAATTTAAGAGGTGATGAAAGGTCAAAAATTTAATTATTTTCTGAAAAACTATTGTTGTTGATAAAATGTTCACTTTTTGCTCACATTCTGCCTACTGCATATTTTCCTCAAAGCAGATTTGGACAAAATTTAAATAATGGCTCTCCTGGGTATTTAAGGGATTTAATTCTGAAGTCAGATCCGAAAATCTTGAATTATTTGGAAGAATGAGCCTGGTTGAATTAAAAAATGTCTTAAAGTAACCTTACATTTATTTTAATGAAAAAACCTTCCTTACATTTTCCTTATTTTAAGGGTTAGGTAACTTTACCTTTTTCATCCTTTCAAAAAAGGTGATAAGGCCAGAAAAGTAGACAAGAAGTGATGGGAGGTCTTTACCCTCTAGTCAAGAAGTTCTGGAGTAGTAGAGCAAGTTTAATTTTTGTTTTTAATTTTAATTTCGTATTTAGCTTTAATTCTCGCTACTGTGCCTTGTATTCCCCATGTGGGCAACATTCTTAGTAAAATTTCCATTCAAGTATTTCTTATGCATTTTTCTTCTTCTTTTTCCTCCATGTTTTATAATTTTATTATAAGCTAATCACCCCTTTGGGTGTGGGTGTCAGTCAAACTTAAGAATTTGAAGGTACACTTGGGTGTTGTCATTTTTATTAATTCTTAAGCTTGGTCATTTAAGTCGGGACTTAAGCTCAACGCAGATAAGCTGATCACTTTGAAGTGTTAATATTAGATCCTTGATCCAGAGATGGGCGGATTTGAAATACAGCTTAAGTGATGCACAAAGATTTGAAAGAGTATTTGATAATCACGTAGAGATACGGATTCTGCATGTTTTTAGCTAATGTTAAGATATTAGTCGAGTTTATACTACAAAGAGATTTGAGTATAAATCTTCAGGCTAGTGGAACCAGATATCTTTTTATCTCTTAGCTAATTCGGCAAGTTTAAAATTGATAAAATTTGACACTTTGTGGGCATAGTATATAAGAATTCATTTTCGAGAGATTGAAGTTTTTATAGAAGTCTCATGAGTTTCTGACCATATTGTTCCTACAATTTTCTTAAGGGAAACTTACACCCATACCCATCTTTTAATTTTAAAGGTTTATTTCGTATTTCTAAGTTTTGCACCATCAAAACTCAACTTTTTATTCTCAAACCGAAACAAGTTCAAGAAGTTCATGAAACTCTCTGATTCTCAATAAGTCCAATCCTTGTGGAAACGATCTTGGTACTATACCACTTTATTACTTGAAGCGATCATAGTGTCGGCGTGCACTTGCACCGCCACTGTGGGGATTTTGTGCCCACTGTGTGAACACTTACGATTCCAGCACATCACTTACCAAGTCACATTACCTTACCGAATGAATATGACAAGGACCAAGAATACTACCCGGTAAGAACGAATACCCGGTAAGAACGAATGAAATGACCACGAATGTTATCTGATAAATGATGACAACGACCTTTACCACGGTTAGCGCTTAACGGATAAATTGTTGTTTACGATACCGTTTTGGTGGATTAAAGTCTTACCTAGTAAGTAAGTGATAGCGTTGAATTTTACCGGTAAGCACTTACCTGAGTAAGCGTTTGATAAACGATATCTAAATTTGAAGCTTAAAGATAATTATTGAGCCTAACAAAATAGTATCGTTATATTTATTCGAAAATAAAATATCCATCGTTAAAATTGAATTTTTTTTTAATTTTTAATTTAACTCCTTATATATTTTTTAAGGTTTTTTCCAATCATGTATTTTATAAAATATGAGTATTTTATTCTCCTTTAACTTGATACTCGTGTGTGTACATATAATATATATTCAATTTTTAACTCGGTTTTTAAAAATTCAATTACAATTGTACTAGTATGAGTATATTCATATTATACTATACAACATTTACAACTTACTAATATGTTTGAACTAAGGTTTAAAATAACGTGAGACATGAAACTCATTCTTATCTTTCTCACCATAACTTACATTCTCATCGAAACTCATCCCTTCTATTGCATACTATAGTTTATCTATATTAAATAGGAAGATGAAGAATTATGTGAGAATAAAAGTTATAATGAAAAGCGTAAGAAGAGATCTGAATCGTTGATTACTTTTAATTTTACCCTCACCCATGAATTGTCTTATCATAAGAACTGATATGGTATATCTCGATGTATTATATTAGTGTTATCTTTATTTATGATTGGTGATCCTTTTTTTTATTTTTATAATAACTTTAATTCTTACCAAAACCCAATAGAAAGAAAGCAAGCGGATTTTTAGATTCAATTAGAGCCGTAGGATTAAAACTTCTGCTTGATCGCCAAAAACTCATCTCCTGCGGACTCATCTTATCCACGTATATTTAACTGTACAAAAAACCAATACCAACTTTCCGACCACAAAACCATGAACGCCGCCACCACCACCACCACCGTTGAGCCGCCGTATCATCACCTCCCAACAAACAATCTCACCCAAAAATCACTCTTAAATCTCCTAACCACCAAATGCACCACTTCTCTCCACCATCTGAAGCAAACCCACGCTCTAATTCTCAAAACCAACCACTTCCAACACCATTTCATATCTGGTTCTTTGATCAAATCCTACGCAAATCCCAGTTTCAATACTTTCGATTCTTCTCTCCAACTCTTCCATCAGGTTCCAAACCCTAATGTTTTCGTCTGGAACTCCGTTATCAAGGGGTGTTTCGACAACAGCAAGCCCTGTTTGGCTCTGTTGTTTTATTCGAAGATGGTGGGTTTGGATTCAAAACCAAATAAGTTCACGTATCCTATGTTGTTTAAGGCTTGTATGGTTGTGAAATCTGTTGAAGAAGGTGCTCAGATTCATTGTCATGTGGTGAAAAATGGGTTTATGGAAGATGGGTATGTCAAAAGTGCTGGTATTCAAATGTATTCATCGTTTGGACGTTTAATTGAAGCTCGGATGATTCTTGATTTTAATGGCGAATCGGATGTTATTTGCTTCAATGCCATGATCGATGGGTATTTGAAACATGGAGAAATTGAATCTGCTAAGGCTTTGTTCGAAGTCACGATGAAAAAGAACGTTGGTTCATGGAATGCCATGGTTTCTGGTTTGGCTAAATGTGGAATGGTTGAAGCTGCTCGAGAAGTGTTCGATGCAATGCCTGAAAGAGATGATATTTCATGGAGTGCCATGATTGATGGGTATAACAAAAACGGCTGTTTTAAGGAAGCATTGGAAGTTTTTCGAGCGATGCAAAGGGAGAAACTTCGGCCCAAAAGATTCGTTCTTTCGAGCGTGGCTTCGGCTTGTGCCAATGTCGGTTCTCTCGATCAAGGGAAATGGATTCATGCTTATATCAGACGAAATTCGATCGAATTAGACGGGGTTTTAGGAACCGCGTTATTGGATATGTACGCGAAGCTGGGACGACTCGATTTGGCGTGGGATGTTTTCGAGACGATGAAATCAAAAGAGGTTTCTTCATGGAACGCGATGATCGGAGGGCTCGCGATTCATGGTCGGGCAAAGGATGCAATCGAGCTTTTCTCTCAAATGGAAAATGAAAAATTGAAGCCCGACGAAATCACATTTGTTGGATTATTGAACGCTTGTGCTCACGGAGGGTTGGTCGATGAGGGCTTGGAGTATTTCAATCGGATGGAAGCGGTTCATGGGGTTGAGCCGACGGTCCAGCATTACGGCTGCGTGGTCGATCTTTTAGGCCGGATTGGATGGTTAGCCGAAGCCGAGGAGCTAATAAGTAGAATGCCGATGACACCAAGCCCCGCTGTTTGGGGTGCACTTTTGGGTGCTTGTAGGGTTCATGGAAACATCGAAATGGGAGAAAGAATTGGGAAAATGTTGATTGAATTGGAGCCTCAAAACGGTGGTAGATACGCGTTGCTATCGAACATCTACGCAAAGGCTGGGAGATGGGAAGATGTAGAGAAATTAAGAGCGTTAATGAAGGAAAAAGGCGTAAAAACCAGTACTGGTAGGAGTACGATCGATTTGGGCGGTGTCGTTCACGAGTTCAAAGTCGGGGAAGGGGCCCACCCTCGAACCCGAGAGATTTACGAGATGGTCGAGGAGATGATTGCAAAACTGGAGAAAGACGGTTACGTCCCTAAAACATCGGAGGTGTTATTTGATATTGACGAGGATGAGAAGGAAACTACATTATGGCGACATAGCGAAAAGCTCGCTATTGCGTTCGGGTTGATCAGCACATCAACCGGAACGCCCATTAGAATCACGAAGAATCTAAGGATGTGCGAGGATTGTCATTCGGCAGTTAAGCACATTTCGTGCATATATGAGCGGGACATAATCGTGAGGGATCGTTTACGATTTCACCATTTCCGCAACGGGAAGTGTTCTTGCAAGGATTTTTGGTGACGAGTTGATTACGAGAAGATACTCAGGAAAACAGTCATTCTATTATTTAGGGGCCGTTTACCAAACGCTTATTCGGGTAAGCGCTTACCAAGTCACATCACCTTACTGGATGAATATGGTAAGGACTTACCTGGTAAGAGGGAGACAAAGACCGAGAGTCTTACCTGGTAAGTGAGGACGATGACTCTTACCATGGTAAGCGCTTGTTCTGTAAATTGTTGCATACGATGCCGTTTAGGTCGACTAAAGTCTTGCCTGATAAGTAAGTGGTAGTGTTAAATTTTACCGATAAACGCTTACCGGGTAAGTGTTTGGTAAACGACCCCTTAGTCTGGTTTAATCGATTACGAGAGGAAGATCAGTCAAACGTAGACACAGACGAGTGCATTTGATCCTCGAAAAGGCTTAAAAAATTAGATTTAGGACAAAGGTATAATATCAATGGAAACTCTACACGTTTTGTTTTTTAATACAAAACAAAATAGCAAATTTGTTTATATCTTTTCTTGAAATTTTTTACCACTTGATATATAATTTGATAGGTGCACGAAAACCCGAACAATCATATCGACTAACCTTACTCAACCTCATGTCTAATCGAGTTATAAAATTTTCAAACTATAATCATTGAGTTGGAAATGAGTTATGATTCTTTGAATCCATCCCAATCTGGCCTAATGAGCCTGACACCCTTAGATTTAAAATGATTATTGAGTTCCTTATTAATTAATATGTACATTAGACTCTTAGATCATCACTCTCTTTCACATATATATATATATATATATATATATATATATATATGTATATACACACTTTAAATCTCGTTCTCTTTCTCTATTTAAATACTATATTTGTTTCTTTATACATGTTCAGAAAATGTGATCATATATATGCAAATTAAGAAAAACAGTTAACTGGGATCTGCTTAAAAAGGAGCGTGGATAAGCTGCATCAATTGATTACTGTTGAATAAAGAAATTATGTGTAGAATACACTATATTCAAGGTAACAAATATATGAGAATGTTTTAATGTATCCAAGTTTCAACCCAACCACCTAAATTGACCAGCACGGATCAGGTTGGTTGAACTTCTGATTAGATTGGGTTTCAAATTGCAAAAATTAGTTTGATTATTGTTCAAATGTCTTCAACATGATCAATCTAACCAATGTTCAGCCCAAAATCAATGAGGATAAAATTGGTCGACAATATAAATATATATAAAGTAAGCAATAGAGAAGACATTGGATTTACGTGATATTTATTTATTTTTATTTGAACCTCCCAATATATATATATATAGAGAGAGAGAGATCGGTTTAAGAAAAAACCCTAAAAATAGAAAATCGAGGAGCACCCTAACAAATATTCATCTTTTTTATTTTGTTTTTTTGAGTTTTATACATATGTGAATGGAAACAATATTCAAGCATATCTTTCTCTTTTATTATGCTTTTATGGGTTTTCTACATACATGAATGGGAACAATATTCAAGCACTTTTCATTTTTACTCTCTTTCCTAGGATTTTATGTGCACGTGAATATGGTGACTTTTCATATAGAAACTTAAAAACGATAAATATAGTGATCCATTCATATATGTATGCAGTCATGAAATTAAAAGACGTGAATATAATGGTTCATTTATATATGCATGCAACCCATAAATTGAAATACCGACGAATAGGATGATTCATTCACATGTGCATGCAACCCAGAAAATGAAGGATATTGGATATAATGAGTGGTGACTCATTCACATGTGCATGTATCCCATAAATTGAAAGACGATGAATATGTTGACTTTGTCACATGTGCATGCTACCCAGAAACTGAAAGATATTAATATGGTGATGTTTGAACCCCTGACCTCCTAGGAGGCAAGAGGCTCAGATACCGCTAGACCAAAGGCACTTTGGTAATATGTTTTTTGTTGATTGTGGAGTAATTTTTGTAGATTTTTTAATTAAATTCATTGGAAATACTTGTTCTATGCATTCCTTTCTTTCCAAAGATGGTCCCCAAATCGACAAAGGTGAACAAGTAAAGTATATTAGGATCATCCGAAGGAATGAAGAAATACTGTTTTAGAGAGCGAGGCTGCGATAGAAGAGATCAAACACAACATTTTCTAGGTCAGAAGGAACAGCTATGATGACCACCAGGGGTCATCTTCGCATGCTTTTGGAACTGAGATTCCTAGGGTGACCTCTTGCTATTAGAAAAATGGTTTTATATTCATGAAAAGGTCATAGATTCAATTAAAATCTCATTAAGGTTATATACCTAAAAACCGTTCCACCTCATATACAAGTGGTCTACTAACCAAAGCTATAATCCGAGGATAAAAATATGATATTGTTGTACGATAAATGTGTCATCGTCTAAAGGATATGACGATAGAGATAAAGATAAAGATAAATATATCAGAGTTAAATTAGAAGTGAAATATCTCGTAGATATCTACTTGTAACTCATTCCTATTGATCGAGAAATCAAGCTAATATTCGACATTTGAGGTAACTCGTATATGTTTTAAGCTTTAATAGATCACCTTATTATTCTTCAGGATAAATCTTTTGTTGCCTTTGCCAATCTTATGCAATACTAATTCACGTATTTTGTTCTTATATGTTTTAGAAATTGTACAAGCAATTAATAGAAACAATTGTTAGCTATTTATGATCCTTGCTTACTGTTTTCTTCTTTTTCAATATATGATAATTGCATACATTTCATCTGAATTTTTAGATTTTTCTTTAGTTGGTTGGTAGCCACTTAAGTTACGTCATTAATAAGTGAAATAAGTTTTAGATTCTTTCTTAATTGATTATTGGTTTATTTATTCATTAAATACTATATATTGATAAATTATATTGAAAATTAATTTAATTTTTGGTTTGTTCGTTTAATTTAATTGAAATTATATAATTATTTTAAATATATTATTAGGCATGTAGTTTTATTATGGTTTTTAAAATATGAA